CATCGTGACGAAGATTCAGTCTCTCACGCTGTTACATCTTGTTTAACAAAGTTTGCTGCAGCACACGTTAAGAATCAACTAACATGTTCAAGGAAGACATCGTACGAGATAACTGCAAGAGATGGTCTGCTGTTTGTGGTTTCTTATAAAGAAAAGTCTCATACCACAAAGGCGGATTCATGCTCTTGCAGTTTTTTCAACTAGATGTCAAGACTGCAAAGCTTAAAGCCTAGTGTGAGCGACACTCATGCATGTGAGAATATTCGGAAGAAGATCAAGGATGGAGGTGGTAGTGCAGATCTGTGTTGGACTGAAGGTGGTGACTTTAGATTTTTGTGTGTACCAAACTACTGAAATGAAAAAATTCTTTTCAGCATTTCCTGATGTTGTCATTATTGACGCTACTTACAAAACCAATTTGTAGCGGTATATTTGTATTTGTTGGTAACTGCAATGGTCATTGACGGTGAAGGTAGGGGCATACCCATAATTCATGCTTTTCTCATCAAAGAGGACCGTGATTCCATGGAACACTGCCTTCGTCTTTTTGCACAACATAACAGTTTTATGAATACCAAATATTTTGTTGTGGATAAGGACATGGCAGAAATTTCTGCCCTGGAAGCTGTGTAGTCTTCCCTGGAAACCCTGTTCATCTTTGCTGCTTTCACATAAGCCAAGTTACTCTAAATGAAAAGCTTTCACTTTCAAGAGACCAGATGTCAAGACTGCCATGTCGGCATATTTTTCCCTTGTGCTCTCGTTTGGGGCCAAGAGACACCAACATGGCACCCACAGACACTGACAACATATCAGTAACTGACACTGATAGTTTGTGGCCACAAATGAAAAGAGTCCTTAAGCCACGAGGGAGACCAACGAAATGACAGATGTTCACTAGGGTAAACAAGAGAAAAAAGGATGTTCCCTTGAAATTTAACAATTTGAGTCTGATCTCCCAGCAGCAACTTCTTGTTTCATCAGTGTTTGGTAATGTCACTGCCCCCTTCTCCCCAAACCAATTCAAAATCACAGACCTTAAACCATATACGTTTTTTGGCGATTTGGTTAGGGAAACAAGTGTCAATCTTGACATTATCAAGCCACTGATGGATTCATCTCCATGGAACTGCCATGTAGATGGAATTGAAACTCGGAGAGATGATGGAATTTTCACATGTAGTAGGTGCAGAGAGATCATAGACAATGGTGAGCACAAAATGATATTGTGTGAGCAGTGTTTGGTGTGGACTCACTACCATTGTGCAGGTTACAGAAGTAACAACAAAGTTCCCACATGGTTCTGTAAGTCTTGTATGTGTGGAGACATTCTGTAACTGGCACATGTCAAGTTTTTGTAATACTGCTCTTAGTTAGTATCACATCATATGTGTCCAATTCACAATAAAAATAGTTGCTCAACAATGTCCTTACTGCAACTCGTCGTATCATGTATGTAAGAATGTAAAAAAAAAATTTGGGGGGTAGGTGTTTTACGGTGCTCGCAACTGCATAAGGTCATAAGACGGCGCGAGACACATAAACTTTTTCAGTAGGTAGGAAATTTTGAATTTTGCCCGGGTGGCGGCCGAAGCCTATTCTTATCGGTTTTAGACCACCAAGGGATCTTTAACATGCGCAACTTGCACACGGGCCTTCCAAGATTTTTCGCCCTTGTCCGAGAAGGCTAGGTGTAGATCTTTCCCACCAGAAGATCAGGGGTGTGGCTGAAAGACAGTAGTAAGAAGGAGCAAAGGAGTGGCAGTAGAAAGGCTGCAGAAAGAGTCAGGAGCCCAGAGGATGGGGCAAAGGAGGTGATTGTTTTTGTTTTTGTAAAGTGTTTTACGGCGCTCGCAACTGCATAAGGTCATATGAGCGCGCGGGACACACCTAATATTTTCAGTTGGAAGGAAATTTTGAATTTTGCCCGGGTGGCGGCCGAAGCCTACTTTTATCGATTTTAGACCACCAAGGGATCTTTAACGTGCGCAACTTGCACATGGGCCCTCAGAGATTTTTCGCCCTTGTCCGAGAAGGCTAGGTGTAGATCTTTCCTACCATAAGATCAGGGGTGTGGCAGAAAGACAGCTGTAAGAAGGAGTCAAGGAGTAACAGTAGAAAGGCTGCAGAAAGAGTCAGGAGCCCAGAGGAGGGGGCAAAGGAGGTGAGGGGGTGGGGGCAGAAAGAGGAGACGAAAACAGACGACAAAATATTGCTACAGAGCAGGAAAGGAGGTGAAAAGAGACAATTTTAGAAAAGAAAATTGTTCGGTCGCTACCCGGATTCGAACCCGGGACCTTTGAATGACGGATTTTAAAAAGCATGCAAGACAAAACTTATTTAAACTATTTAAAGAGAACCTTTATAGTTAGGCTCACGGCAGAGCAAGAAGTGACATTAGAAGAAAGCATGTACCGAGAGCCGGAGCTGAAAGGACTCTGAGAACGTGGGATGTGGTGATTAGGCCAGGGCAAGATCGACGGCAAAAAGACTCGAGGCCTCGATTCCAAAACTGAAAAAGAATCGAGGAATCGAGTCCGATTTTCGAGTTTGGAAGCTGCTTCAAGTGGGCTGTTTAGAGAGGCCATGACTTGAACACTGCTAAAAATAGCTCTTAAGATCGAGACCTCGAGTCTTGAACACTGCTAAAAATAGCTCTTAAGATCGAGACCTCGAGTCTTGAACACTGCTAAAAATAGCTCTTAAGATCGAGACCTCGAGTCCCGAGTTTGATAGACGTGGCTGCTTAAGCATGCGCGCATGCCAAGGCAGGTTGGCTTTCACGCATTTGTGTGTGCGCGCATGCCAAGGCAGGTTGGCTTTCACGCATTTGTGTGTGTGTGTGTATTGTGTGTGTTTGCGTGTGTGTGTGTGTTTGGGTGTGTGTGTGTGTGTGTGTGTGTGTGTGTGTGTTGCCTCCCTTCTATCACTCTTGCCAATGCGTGGGGCACAGGCGCCTCCTCTCTTGCACTAGGCCTATCAAGGCCTAGTGCACGCCGAATTCAAATAGTGAAAAAAAACCATAAGTAAACAAAACTCAAAAAAATTAATTTAACTTGGTAATCGGGCCTTAAAATGGGTTCCCCGCGTAACTTTTGCTAATTTTGGGTCGCTGATCACGAAAATCTTATTATTTCTTAAATTTGGCCTATATTTAAGAAATTTTTGGAATGCATTTTTAACTCCGCCTAGGCCAACATCAAAGAAGCCGCCTTACGCGCCGGATGAGTCCCGTCCTGGTGCGGTGTCTGTTTTGAAGCAAAAAACTCGACTGTGGGGTGGGACAGCCCTAGGCCTATCCCACGACAGGACTGTAATGAAATAGTGCGGTAGAGATTTAGATTCTTGCCTCGATTCTCGGAGTCTAGGCTAGGAACCATGCTAAAAAAGGGAGACGGGAGGCGTCGACCCTGGGCGGACTCGAAGCTTAGAGTCTGGGAACAAGATCGATTCTTTGAGTCCTCATTTGGACTCGAAAGAATCGATCCCAGAGTCGATCTTGCCCTGGCCTAGTAGTGATGACGAAAACTTGGCAATCATTGCATCATGGACTAAGTATTGATTTTTTTTCAAAAAGCTAAACCACAGATCCAGTTTTAATCAGTTACAAGCCATCGGGATCATAGGTATCCACCATAGGCGCGTTATGCCGTGTACAGCGCACTCTAATCATAAAAATTAGTTTCCAGATCTTATCCTCCAGTAAGTTCAAATACATACATATTTAATTTTTAAAAAACGTTTTTCTTGCTTTCCTCCAGCATAGTCCCCCCATGTAAGGTCCAGTGCGGGGTCAGGGGTGAAGCCCCGGAAGAAATTGAAATTCAGTGCTTTCCGGGGGTTGAAAATGTCATTTCTTCATTGCCCCTGTTCAATTTGTCATCGCATCATGGACAAATCTGGGAACACCGATCTTGACGATACAATCATCAAGCAGTACTCTTATTATCCCTCACTTACGCGCTCAAAATTGTTAAAACCTAGGAGCACCACTTCCACAAATCGCTTTTATTTTAGCATGAGTTTCTTGCACCGCAGCCTTATCCTACTATATTGCGTCAAGCACACCCCCCCCCCCCCCCCCATACACACCCGATTTTGAAGCCCTGCAACACTCCTATTCTGAATTAACTTTGATGACCCCAACAACCACCGGTCCCTTACTCATGCCGTAGCTTACTCACACAATGCGAACGCGCGCAGGTTCACTGGCCAGCCACGATGACGGACCCAACAATCTTGAAATCAGAGGACACTTGTTTTCTTTCTTATTTTTCATTATACCGGTAGTGACAGCGTGAGAATATATGAGGCATCGTGGTGAAATCAGGCGCTCGTCAAAAAAGTGAAATTTAAAAAATTGGTATTTTTTGGACTGTTGGGCAATTTTTAAATTTTTTTTGGGGGGGGGGGGCTCAACACCTTTTATATCCATTTAAAAACATATTAATTCTGAGTGGACTTAACTGGAAAAATAGTGACTAAAGGCACAAAAAATGTCACTTTTCAGTTTCCAAGGACTCTCAAGCTATGGAAATGATAAAACTTTGGAGGCCATTTTCTCGCCTTTAATCGCAAATATCTCGACTTCCATTTAAAATAGATGGATACTTTTTTCACCAAAAGCAAGGCAAATGAACAGGCTTAAAGATGATACCATTAGCCCAATATGCCCAAAAATTGAGGAGCGCCTGACTCCACCACGTCGCAACACATATGAATTTTATTTGTATGTCGACACTGTGTTTCTAAGGCACAAGCTGTATGTCATAACTGAAGATCTAACGTTAACAAACTATCATAGGAAAATTTTTGGGCGGTAACGAAAGCAGGTTTTGATTTTCCTGATGGAGTCTCAGTATTACACCTACATTTCCGCCTGCCGCCATAGCTGCCCATTCGTGTGAAACGTACTCTCGGACCGGGCAAAGCCAAATGTAATAATACTAATATCACAAACGCGACCGGTAAAATATATACTCTGTGGCCTTTTCAGATTTGGTTTCGAGGACTTTGTCATTTTCATAGGTCTTTCACAGGATAATTTACAGATTTCCTCAAATTCCAGGGACACTCCCGGGTCTCTGCGATTTTTTTTTCAGATTCCCTGGGCTTCCGGGATTCCCGGGCATGTCAGTCACCCTAGGTAGGATCCTCATAATGGCTGACCAGTTCTCTAGATCAAGACAAATTTGAGAAGTTTTGCTCTGACTCTGATACCAATTTTCTTTCTACATTCACAATTCTGTTTTCTAGAGATAAATGCACAGATTTTTCAGCTGCAGCAAAAACCCGAAGATAGACAGAAAGAAAGAATGAATGAAAGGAAGGAGGAAGATTATCTGTCGTGAGTAGCCAGATTTTAGGCAACATGCACATAAAAAACTATTGCCGACCAAACTGCAGAGAGACAAAGAACGAGTGCACTAAATGTGCAATCTGGCAGTGTCCCATACAACTTATTGCCGAGAGTAACGGTAAATATCCGAGAAGTTACAGAAGCAAGCGCTAATCATTTGCTACTGCTACGGAATGCCGATAAGCTTATACTGTCTGTCTGACTCTCTCTCTCTCTCTCTCTCTCCGTTTCTTTAACGCATGGAGTTGATATGATAATGTGGCAAGTACGGAACTTTCAGAAAGTACGGATTTCCACAAATACAAGGAAGATTGGAAGCACAGCAGACTGATTTTTTTTTCTTCTACTTTCGGCACCCATTGCAAATTCGGTAGTTTTGACATCTTTATCAGTATGGTGGTAGAACAAGCCCAAAATCGGTATCTACCGGAAAAATCGGTAGACTTAGGCAGTCCTGAGTAATATACACTGATGGTTCTGTGAAACGTGGGGTGAAAAATGGTTGGGGCTTTGTTGTACATAAAGATGGCCGCATTATTAAAAAATCATCTGGTGCATGCAGCAAGACGAGTTCAAGCACAAGAATGGAGGTAGAGGCAGTGAGAAAAGCATTTGAATGGCTAAAAGAGAGCTTGCCAGACATGCTATCATTGTCATTGACTCTCAGAACATATTGCAGAGAGTCAATAAGTGGATGCTGAGAAAAGAGTTGCTGCAAAGCATAGAAGAAAGCAGACTGAGAGAAATAACATGGATCTATGCTCCAAGCCATACGGGTGTGGTGGGAAATGAACAAGCAGACAAACTGGTGAGCAATGCACCTGTCAATACTGACATTAAAATGGACAAAAATGATGTTGTGAAGGCCCTTGCCACCACACTTGAAGATGAGGAGACTGAGCATGACTAAGCGCCAGTTTTAGGACTTGAAGAACTGGGTGTCTTCAGAGGAAGACATTATTTTTTTAGAGAGAGAAACAGGTAGTCGCAGAATCTTACCGTAGGGTAGACTATCTTTGCTTTCACTGCTATAAACAGTATGTACAATGATCAGGATTTACTTCTTAAGGGTTGTTTACCCTCAACCCCCCCCCCCCCTTCCCCCACCAAAAAAAAAAAAGAAAAAAAAAAAAGATACATCCAAGTAGACAGACCGAGAAACTCTATAAAGCATTCCTTTCCAAACTACGTTATCAACCTCAGGTTTTTTGCATGCGACAGTGCAGCACCTATCCACTACACCACAGACGCCCATCCTGAAACAATTGAAGTTCACAAAAGCCCTATGGGTACTTGAATCAAGGTCATCCCATCCGCGCCTTTTACCATAGATCAGCATGATGCAACCAGACTCTTGCAGTCGATGTGATGAAGTGCCTACAGCAGTAGTGGTTTGCCACACTTCAAGAGCAGTTCCATCATATCTGAGTCTTCAGTCAGGTCTGCTCCAGAGTTCATGATAATCAGCTGAGCAATGTGTTTGCTGATCTGCACTGCCACACACTTCTTCTCAAGTTCACTTTTCAGTCTGAAATGTAGATACATTTGTAAAGATGTGTAATAAATACCACTTGTATGGCGCAAAGCCCCCTTCATCAGCAAACTTTATATTGTTACCCCAGTTGACAGCAGAACACCCAGAAACATAGTCTCAGCTTCCCGAAAGGCACACAAGACAAGCAGCTGACAAAGCACTCAAACACTAACAAATTGACAAGATCTATAGCAGTCTATAGCTGGGTACCCATTCTCATCTGGGTGAAGTGAGAAAGTCATGTAAAGTGCTTTTTCCCCAAGGACACAACATTGGGCCCCAGACGGGGCTCTGGCCCACCCCCTTTTGGTTGCTGGCCCACCAGCCTAACCTCTTTCTGCTTGTGCTAATCCATATACATCCAAAGACATGCTTTCCCCCTTGTACTGATACTGTACATCCACAACAGTAGTATAACAGCTAGATCTATAAAACTTGACAGTTAATGTTCAACTTTGTTTTTGCATGTGTAGGTTTGCACCATATAATGTGTAGAATCCTTATTATAATAGTATAACAGCTAGAATCTACATTCTAGAACTAAATAGCTTGACAGCTTGTATTCAACTTAAATCCTCAACAATATTAACAAATAAACAAGTCTGATGAAAAAATCAAGCTCTCTTCACAGAGTTTTCTTTTCTTGGCAGGCCCAAGATCTAATGAACAACAATTGTCATATCTTCCTCTTGCTTACAGTGCTAGTGCTCTGCTTGTTCTTCAGAAAGTGAAAGTAAAAGAAACTGTCTACACTTTCAAATAAAAGAGCACTTCCAGTATGGGTTGGCTATTGTTGACTATTAGTAATTAAGGACATTTTTTACTTTGCATTTTTGAAAATAATGTGGGTTTTTTGTTGGGGTTTTTTGCTCTAATATTCACGAAAATTTTTCCATTTGCGGAATTCTGCTAATTTGCGGAAATCCGCAAATTTGCGGCGGAAGACTGGAACTCTGTCAGTTCAACACCCTCATGTCTATTCAGGTGTCCCATAAACTGCATTTGTCGTTTCCTGATTGTTTTTGTTTTGTTTGAGTAAAGGTTTTATGGCGCTCGCAACTGCATAAGGTCACATGAGCGCCAGAAGATTAGAGGAGTTACAAGAGAATTATAAACATAAAAAAGAAGGAGGGGAGATAAGGACGATAGATGTTTGATAGGAAAGAAGAAGCAAACCACACCAGAGCACCCGTCAACCAGCCACTGATTGTTTTTAACATTGAGCGTCCCATGTGGGCTTCAATACACAAGCAAAAAAAAAGCAATTCAGTCACTGCGTACTTGCAGCCACGCGTAAAAAAATGCACTTCATCTCAAAAGTATTTATGTTTGAGTGAACTCAACATTACCATTTTACTTTAAAACGTATGTAAAGAAGAAGAGGTAAAAGGATAATCTTAACCAAAGATCAACTCAAGCGACGTTAACAAAAGTGGAGTAAACTGTATAACATCTGTGATGAAAGCCATCTGAGATATTTCAGAAACTTTTCTCCTAAAACAATACATGATAATCAACCAGCCAGTATCAATCAAAGAATAACATTTGCATTTACCCATCCTCCCAATCAAAACAATATAATGATACACGAAAAGCACTTACTGTTTGTATTCAGGGCTTGTAGAAATTTCTGAGGAAACCTTTTCATGGCTCTTCCTGCTATCTTTCAACTTCTGCATCATAAAGGCATTTTCTTTTTTAAGTTCTGAAAACAAAAAATATAACAACATTGTGACTGTTTGGTTGATTTGTACATCATCATCATCGAGTGCCAGATCTGCGGCAGACATCGGCGATCATGATTCTCCATTCATTCCTTTGCTCGGATGAATGGAGATTTGTACATACAAAAAAAAGGTAGCACATGAATAGTCATTAACCCCTTCTTTGCCTTTTTAAGCACCAGGTATGTCATGAAAATGCATAATTCCAAACTTTGAGTTGTAGGCCTACCATGGATATCACAGAAGTTGGCAAAATTTGCCTTACCTGGTAATATGACATTTACATGTACATCCCCCTAATCATCTGGCTCTAATTCTGCTGTACAGATATTTAGCCACAAGCACAAAATGGATTCCAATTCAATTATTAAAAATGCACATGTCGGTACCAAATTTATTAGATCTAGTATTACTTTACAGCTACACTTGCAAGCAATCGATAAACACAGGTCCAGCCTGGTAGGTGAACGTAATCTCTCACAAAGCATACACACCAAAATAACTTTTTTTTAAAAATCGGCACATTTCACCTTTTGACTTGGATTTGAAAGTTTTTCAAAATTATGGGCAAGACGGGGAATATAAGAAAAAAAAGAAAGTGGAAAATAATACCATTACCACGGCGTCTAAATATATGTCACGACTGGGCTAGATCCAGTACTGAGGCATGAGATTGTGGACCTGGCTAATGAGCTTTGCTGAAAACCAGTGCTGACAGTGACAGTAAGAACGCCCCCCTTCCCCTCTGACAAAGAAGGGGTTAAAAGACAATAAACTGGTTCAGATAGCAATACAAAACAAAAACAAAAAGTTAATGAAAACTAAGTACAAATGACGGAATGTAGTAGAATTCAGGAAGGGAAATCAAAATAAGGACTTTATATAATAGTAAAGTATTGTATGGGTTCTCATCTTTCTCAACATTACAAAGTTATTTAAGAGGTGAACTTATGATCTGTCTGAAACAGGATAGAGCAAAAAGTGAGTGGAGAGCCACGAAAATTCCCAAATAATCTAAGATCAAGAATGTCCTGTCAGGGAAAAAAAAAGAGAATGTGTTTAACAACCCTATCAACATTATCAGCTTATTTAAGAGACAAAACTTCCAGATTTAACTGATAGGACCAGGTCAAATGGGTTAAGAGCCTTAAAAACTCAATAAAACGACCAAAGTTAAAGAACACCCAGACTGGGATTTCAACCAAGGCCAACCACTTCCTTGTCCAGTATGATTACAACTGCGCTAATAAGGCACCTCATCCCATCAGGGATTTTCACCATGGTCATCAACATCATATAACAGCCCAGCTTGCTTCCCACAAAGCTAATCTAGCGCTGAGGAGAACTTTAAGAAAGTTATGATAATGATGGGACAAGGAAGATATATAGAAAGAAAAAGGGGTTGTAAGAGCTTTTCAGCACTCGCAACACAATAAGGTCAAATAAGTGCTGAAGATTAAGAGGCGTTACAAGAGAGTAACAAACAAAAAAAGGAGAGATCAGGACAGTAGATGTTTGATTGGAAAGAAGGAGCAAACTACACCAGAGCACCCGCTAACCATCCACAAGGGGAGGTTGGGATGTATGAGACTGAAAAAACTTACTAAGGTTGGCCATCTTCTGTTGGACCAGCTTGTCTTCAAGATCTGACGTTTCCTGAAAACAAACACAAAGATAACTCATTGTATGTTCTACAGCTAAGCACCACTGTTACCATACTATTTAGAGCAAAAATTTACGGAAAGAAATTTATTTTATAATATCCACCACAGGACTTCCCAAGTCTTGGGGAAACAAAGAAAGGGTCTCTGATGTTTAACATAACTTAAAACAAAAAACATGTCATGTATACACACATAGTAACATGTTTTTAAAGTCAGCACCTCCATTCAAATCTGGGATGCACACTACTTGTTCAAATTTGTTGCATCCTGCAGTTAATCAAAAGGAGGCTCAACTGTCTGAGAACAAAGCTGCTTAAGAGACCTGAAAAAGAGAGTCGGTCTGTACTACGCTTCCCAAGAATTAAAAAATTCTTATTAACTCTAAATGGCCAAAAATGTAGGATAGAGCTTTGTAATTCTAAGGTAGCGACTATATAAGACTTCCTCATCATTAATCTAAATAGCTAATTTAATAATTTCCCCCTTTCAATCAAATGCTCACTTAACCACATGATAAGTCTCTTTCTAGCCTTTTTGTTCCAGTTTATCATCATTTCAGTCTTCCCACAAATACACAGAGCTGCCCACCAACCAGCATATGTTTTAGTAATCAACAACTAGAAAAATGGTAATCTGGCTCAAAAATTCGTAAATTGGCCATAGATAGTCTGTCTGCCTTGGGTGTCAGGGTCAGGGGTGATAGTAGTAAAGTATAAATGTAACATAAACAAAGGTGTGATGATAAAAAGAGGTCTCGCCGGGCTTGTCATCATCTAGTTAAGAAAAAAAAGGGTGCGATAGTGGAAGGGAGGGATGTTGGTTGTTACTGCTTGCAAAAACAAAAGAAACCTTTGAAACTACAGAATACATGACAAGCCTTTGAACCCGATTGTGTATCACAACACATCATGCCACGCAATCACCGTATCTAGTTGTACCATAGTATCAAGTTTCAAACAATGATCACTTTTTTAAAAGATTCCCATTGGCCTAGGCTGTCACCCAAAACACAAAAGGGCAGGGATTTACTAACACCATGTCAACGTAATGTTTGCCTTTTGTCTAACGTTTTTCTAAGGGTACAGTGGCACTGGGCGACAACAAGGGTTCAGTGCAAAGAGAATGTTAAAGTTAGATGGCTGCACATGACATAGTGACGTAAACTGTCTGTGTATGATACTTTTTCTCCCCATATTCACCAGGCAGTGGTCTGAGGCAGCCAAAAAAATTTTTTTATGGAATACGGGGCATTACGATCGTATTTTCGTAAAACTGAATAAAAATTATTACGATTCTGCAAAATTCATAAATGATATGCAGCCTTGCATACAGTAGGCCATCATGTCACATACTAAAAATTGTCATCGGATATTCCTAAAATTGAAATGTAAACTTCACAAACAGAAACTGGTGAATGGCCTCCATGACCCAGACCTGCCACTCTAACAAATATCAAAATCAGGATCTCAGGGGGAAAAAAAATCGAGATCAATCACAAATCACCAGGGTGACTGTCAAGCTGACTTAAAAATGTTCTATGTGTTTATACCCTCTGTGTTTGTGTGTGTGTGCGCGTGTGTGTGTGTGTGCGTGTGTGTGTGTGTGTGTATGTATGTGTGTGCGTGAAATCCTGAAGTACCATGTCAAGCACTCCTCTTTCAAGTGTCTAACCCTCACTCCCCAATAAGTCCCAAAAGACACTTCAACCAGTATGCATGAACTTAGGTTGACCTCGTCAGCGGATGGTCCCCGACAGAAGCGGAACTCACACGCCGAAGTCATTTCACATGATGCGAATGCACGTTTGAAACAGTTTTACTAACGGTTCTTGATGACGGCCCCGACTAACCAGAACTCATACAAAGCTTCTTTTGATAGAAACAACCGAATGACGAATAAAAATGATCCTTTATATGTCGCAATTGTAACAGTTACCAGGCCATCGGTCGAGAAATCTGAGTAGTAAAAAAAGCGAAGTAGATCTTGAGAATATCCCAAGTCGGAATGCCAAATCGATACTACTTCTAATATAGTTGAAATAACACGTGTGAGCAAAGATCCAGCACAATTTGGGGCGAGTCAAAGATCATAGTGCACGATCTTCAGGCAAGTCAACTATTAAATCCTGCACCAATATTTCACAAAATAATGCTCCCAGTTACTGCTGACAAAAAGTTCAAAGGATACATCCCGTGACAGAGAAGAAGGCAGAGTAAGTTTTTATAAAAATCCGGCACAACAGACAAAAAAAAAATCGGGATACAAGCAATTGAAATCGGGATGCTTGAGATTTTGGGACAAAAAAATCGGAATATCCCAATTATATCAGGATGAGTGGCAGGTCTGATTACCTAACAATAACAACCTCATATTGTCCTGTATTGAAATACTTTTCTCATCAACCCTTGCTCTGTGACACTGCTCCACATTCCAGTAAACTTACCTTGAGGATTCTCTTTAGTTGTGAAGTCAACTCCAGCTCTTGTAGACTGCAAAGACAGGACATAACCATTTTTTATAGATTATCTACCAGTTCTATAAAGTAATAAAAATCAAAAGCATCATTTACACCAGAATTCCGAAAATTCATTGGATTAATAAATGAGTTTGATAAAAAGTAAAAAGCATAGTTTTTTTTACATTGTAGATTCTCAATACTACGCTCTGACCAAAACTCTTTTATTCTTTGGTCTACTAGTCTACTTAAAATGAAACAAGGAATCACATTCAATTTTGCAACTCCTTTAATTTACAGTCTTCACCAGTCCATTGGAGAAAGTTCTGAAGCTGAATCTGTTCTATTTTCAAATTGGGGAGGGGGTGTAGGGTCATCTAATACCAATATTACAGTGCAGAGTGATTCAAACAAAATTTTATGGCGTAATGTTAATATCTTGAGCTAGCATTTTGTACAGTCATATGTAGGCTCTGTGGTAATGAGAGTTGGTTAACTAATTCTGGTAGAATGCTGATTTGTTAAGATGTAGTCTTTATAAAAATACAGCACATTAAAGACCATACTTTGCCAGAAAAATACCGGAAAAATAAATAATTTTGAAATTAAATATATATAGAAAAACAATTTTGAAATTAAATATATAGAAAATTATTAAGAAATGAAATGACTGTACGTGACTGTGTGTGTGTGAGAGTGTGTGTCTGTGTGTGTGTGTCTGTGTGAGTTTATATGTGTGTATGTGTATGTGTATGTGTGAGTGCGTGCGTGTGTATGCGGGTAGGCGCGTGGTTGCAAACATTTTATGCCCCATGCGGGTATGCTCGTGGTTGCAAACATTTTATGCCCCATTGACACAATCTAGACCATTGAGGAGGAAAGCTGCTTCCACCCTATCTGTCAACCTGTCAGTGCCAACCCAGGCTGAGAGAGATACAATGTCCCTGCAGAAGTACTATGACACTTGATAAAAATATTTCACCCAGGGGAATTGAACTCATGTCTTCTACCTGCAACAGTGAAGCGCCAAACCGCTACACCACAGACGTCAGTCTATAAACTAAGGGACATAAGTTGTTGCCGCACCAGGAAAGACGAAGTTTCAAAATTAAATAGTTCTTGCTTTCTAGTAACATCTAAAAAAGCAGCATCTCCCACTTTTTCCAGTCAAACAATAATTATTCTCCAACCAACAGGCAAAACTCACCAGCGCGTTGCACAGCCACTGTCAGATGGATCTGTCCCATTGGTAAAGAGTTCTTCACACAAGGTTTGGCCCATCTGTACCCTGAAACGACACATGAGGACACTGCACACCAAAATACAGTCTAAACTGTCTAAAATGGCAACACATTGTTGAGGAGGAAAAGAGCTTTAGTTTTAATAAAGGTTTTACGGCGCTTGCAACTGCATATGGTCAAATGAGCACCAGAAAATTAGAGGTGTTACAAGAGAGTAACAAACATAAAAAAGGAGAAGGGGAGATAAGGAAGATAGATGTTTGATAGGAAAGAAAAAGTTGCAAACCACACCAGAGCACCCGCCAACCACCCACGAAGGGTTGTTTGCGGACCAGAGTATTGAGTTTCACATCATATAAACTCCAGACCAGAGTATTGAGTTTCACATATAAAGTCCTGACCAGAGTATTGAGTTTCACAAATAAACTCAAGGCCATGGCACAAGACTAACATAAAAATCGTCTCACACAGAGAGCAGTCTATATTGCTGCCAAACACACACAAAAAATGGTGAAATCGTACAGTTTTAATGCCCCTATCAGCACTGCTTGGGCATTTAAAAGGAGAGACCTCCGAACTTAACATCAAAGCCCGAAAGGACAGAGCCAAATAGGAAATTCTGAATTCAGGTAAAATGCCTTTCCAAAGGACACAAGGTCAGACTGAACTGAGGCTCAAACCCCCGAACCTGCAATGTCATATTTATAGGTCCGGTAGCTTAACCAATCTGTTACCAACGCCACCTACCAAAGACAGGAAAGCAGAAATTAATTACTCCTCCTGACATAGAGGTCAGATTTCAGGGCAGCATCAATCTCACAAAAAAACCACAAATGAAAATAAAACAAATATCACAGGGAAATGTGTCCCGACAAGATATGAAAAAGACACAACTTCCAGCTTCGCTCATTTTCAAAAGACTGAATTTATGCAAGCCATAAATCTTAAAGAACGCAAGAATTTCATTCTCAATTTTTAACTTTCAAAATGCTTCTGAAAAACATAAACTCACCGTTTTAATAGCAGCTCATTCGTAGAGCATCTATTAGACTCTTCCAACAGTTGTTCTTTCAGTTCATTCACTCTGGTGGACAAAAAATGTTTCTTTTAAGTTCAAGACCAAAGACACCCTTGGAATCATATTATACATAAAATAAATACCATTGACAGGATAAGCACTTATGAAAACAGCAACAGATTGTTCAGTAATTTAACTCTCGGAAGTCGACAAAACAGCAACAGATTGTTCAGTAATTTAACTCTCGGAAGTCGACATGGCTTTTAACTAGACGCTTAACTTATGTTACTGAATTTTCTATATCCGATAATTCTTACATATGTGGCACGACGCAGTGGAATCAGGCGCTCGTCAATTTTGGGGTACATGGAGTTGGAGTTATTGGTATCATCGTAAAGCCTGTTCCTTTGCCTTGCTTTGAAGGAATAAAATATCCTTCAATCTTGAATAGTAGTTGAGATATTTGCAATTGAAGGGGGTGGGGGTCACCGGGTTCAGGGGTAAAAATTAGCGAGAAAATGGCTGCCAAAGTTAGGTGACTTCCATAGCTTGAGAGACTTTGAAAACTGAAATTTTTACAGTTTTTGTCCCTTTAATCAACGTTTTTGGGTAAAATCTACATAGATATGTGTTTTTACAAGGGCATAAAAGATGATGAGCCAAAAATGAAAAATCCGAAAAAAATTGCCAAACCAGCAGTAAAAGGACGGTTTCTTTGATTTCAGTAATTTGACGAGCGCCTGATTTCACCATCACGTCTCACATATATCTATAACACTTGTTTACCAGTCCCTTTTGCTGCTTTATTCACGAGGCAAAAAAAATTGCAAGAAGAAAACTTTACTTGGCAATTCTCAGTACCATCCAACAGTATAGCGTACAGTCGAACCTGTGTAAGATGGCCACCTATTGTCATGGAGAAAAGTGGCCGTGTAAGACAGGTGGCCGTCTTAGGTAGGACTGATCAAGATGAAAAAAACAAACCATTCTTTTCTGAGGTCCCAATCGAAGGAAGCCGCATTGTTGTTGTTGTTGTTGTTTTTGCTGGTTTTATTTTCTTTTGTTTATTTTGTTGCTGCTTTTGTGCAAGAGTGACAATAAAACGAAATGTGTCAGACAAGGAGGACCGAGTGCTAAGGTAAAACAAACACATGGGTCGCAACCACTAGGAGAACGAGCGACACTTCTGTCACAAGGTCATGTTGACCTTCATTGTTACTTTGTTACCGAATGGGTACACAGTGACCACTCCTCTCACTTACAATTTGTGTAAGAGTTCTGGGTGGGGCTTATGGGTTATGAGCGAGATGTGCTGATAACACGTCTCGGTCATGAGGGATTACACGCTTCCCTTACTTGCTGCTGAAAATGTGTTACCTATTGGTAAACAGTGAGAGGGGCTTACGCAACATGATAGGTAGTCCCTCCTACCTAACAATAACGACAGTGGAATTGACTATGACGCCTCGCCCACGATGCCAGGGGCCAATGCATGATTTATGACAAAACATAACAGAGTCACTAAGGTGGCCGTCTAAGACAGGTGTTATTGCTTAGTGTGATAGGGGTTGTGTGTTAAAATATGGTGGCCGTGGCCGCGTTGGACAGGTGCCCGTTTTACACAGTTAAATTACATCGAAAAAACACAAGGGGGGAAATGGAAAGTGGCTGTTTGTACAGGTGACTGTCTTATAGAGGTGGCCATCATGGCAGGTTCGACTGTACTTGCCTATGTACACTGATTACAGAGGATTGAAAAACGCTTTTTGTGTCCTGCATTTATGCATGCATAAAACTTTTCTGCTGAAAGTAAAAGAGGCAACAGTGTCCTCAACACAATAATACTGAAGCACCTGTAATATATGACTGAGCTGCTGAGACTCACCGCTGTGATAAATCTGTTTCACTTTCATCCCCACCATTGGAGTCGTGACTTGCTGAAAGTATTTAAAAAATAGGAGCACATTACAGCAACAGAGCAAATTTTGTAGTTATGCACCTGGAGTTCATGGGCATGAAGTAGGCATACAAACTCACAGCAAAGTTAATTTGCAATTAAACAATGTTTCTTGAACATTATTTATGTTATGTGAGATTTAAGTTTTAGTATTAGACAAAGAGAAAAAAAAAGATAGAAAGAAAAATATAAATTATTTTATGCAAAAAAATACTTTGCAATTGGGGCTTCTGGAAATACCTGTTTTAAAAAAATAATATATCATCATCAAGTCCTTCGACAACACATAATGCTTTTGCAACAAGCTACACTTTAATTAGCCATAACCATCTACAACTACAAACCTCAAACCCTATTTCTCATTAGACTGATTAGATCCTTATTAACTTTTCATCTCCGAGGGCTGTAAACTCACTATACCAGGGCCCTCATTTGGTACGAAATCTAAAAGTGACATATACTTCACTAAATTGGTCATTAAATCAGAACAAATGAACCTTTTTCAATGGTTCTTCATCAAATGAATGAACTCCTAATAAAAAAATACCTGTATTCAGCAATTGCCAAAAACTAATCTGACGTCAAAGTCGTCATGAAGGAATATGCCCGAGCCGTTGCCAGAGGCTCACCAGTTCCGACTCATAGGCACTCAGAGCGGCTTGCCAGAGATAAGGCGTTCAAGATGCTTCAGAACCGTCCTTTTGTTTAGAACTGACAGCCTCTATCACGGCGTCACTTTTCGTCCGATTCTGTTACTTTTAGTGTTTGTAGAGTACCCAATTTGTCCTATTTTAGTTACAAACTTATGAATAAATGATTGTTACTTTTTAAAGGGCATGACAGATCTCTCCAAAATCTGTGTTAAACTGACTACGAATATCATGTCTTTTACCTTGAGAAATATTAAATCTGCGCGAGCAGTAATAGTCAAGTTATAAGAGAAGAAAGATGCACTTCTGCATTTTTTAACTAAAGACGATCAGCGTTAGCTCATATTTTACTATAAAATAAGAGAAAGTTACTCTGCGTTTGTTCACGAATCATGCTGTGTCTGTGGCAGCCTGCATACAACTAAAAAGATATAATATAAGCGATTTTAAAAAACCACGAAACCATGTAAATTCATGGGTGAAGATTAACTTGTATGGAATAAAAATAACAAAAGCTAACACATTCATTCTTAGTTTTTGTGTCGGAAATATGCGCGGACACAATTATGAATGTAAAGAAATCAGTCACATTGTCAGTTATTGCAAATGGTCATAGAAACGGAAAAAAAAGTTGGAAAAGTCTGGTGCTGATTCAGTGTCCCTGAAAAGCTAGAAATTATTCTTATAAAAATATAACCCAATTACGAGAAATCATCCCTATTACTCAGTCAACTTACAAAACCTAGACTTAGCGTTTTAAGAGAAGTAAGGAATTTCTGGAGTGTAACAGATCCAGTTCGTGTATTAGATCTACGTTGAAGATATATTCTAGCACTAAAATCGATTTGTACTTTTCATAGAGAAACTTCATGGTAACTTTTATAAACTTTCGAGAAAATATGGAAATATTCACGATTATATTAGACACATAAAGTTGTATTTGGAGGAATTACTTCATAGCGAATTGTGTGCCCGTTGGATAAAATTGCAAAATTACAGCCTTCTATTATATGCGCAGATACCATCTTTTCTGAGTATCTGCACCAATGCTATTACGTTCATGTTCCAAAAGTTCGACAGATTTTGATAAGGCCTTTTTTTATATTGATTTTTTTTTTCATTCACGCTAGTCAAAAAAAAGATTACAATTTAGCATTGCCGACTCCAGCGCGTCTAACGAAATAACCAGACAAGTTACAACGTCCGTTCTTTTTTGAGTCTCAAGAGCGGAAATGCGTGCTTTGGGTGCTTTAAATGACAATTACCATAAATACAAGGATACACCTTGAATTGTACGTTGAAAAGTACCAAAAATTAACTCGGCCCAGACAGAGCGTCGACAGGGAGCTGACCCCCGTGACCCCCGACGTGATAAGGCGCCCGGCGGGGAACCCCCCGCAGCAACTAAAATTCCACTGCCGGTGGGCCATGCTATGCACATTAGTTGTTTTTGGGGTTTTTTTCCATCACTGATAAATCTTTATTCAAAACTTTATTACTCCCAAGCTCAGAATGATTTTTCACAAATGTGAATATCATATATCTGATTTCCCTAGGCATTCTGAACTACCGCTCAGGTTCTAGATCAAAATGTGTACAAAAGGAATAACTGACTCTTACTGTATGCATGAGGCTGTTCCATGTAAATACAACTTAAAAGAAAAATGACATAACTGACCAGCACTCTGTGCTACTGTCAACTGCTTAAGCTCCTCATTCAGACGAGTTCTCATCTCCAATAAGTCATGAGTTGAAATGTTTTCACTTTCATCTTTTGAATGAGACAGAGTTGGAATGTCCATTTCTTTATTGGAAAATTCTGAAACCGAAAAAAAAAAAGCATGGTTAACTTTATTGACATAGTATAGTTGTATTAAAATTAATAGTCTAGTATATCATATATTGAGAGTATTATCAGCAATTCAAAAACTAAACATGAAGTCCATATATATATTCAACATTTCATCAATCTCAAAGCCCAAAATTTTGAATTTGGATAAAATTGCAGTTTTATAATCTATGATATCGATAGCATGTGAACTCGAGAAATATTTTGTTAAAATTCAAAATAAAAATATTTTGAAAAAAAGGACAAAAAATACATCATATAATAATTGTTAAAAGAATGGGCGATTCTGAAATCATGCATTTTTACGCCAGGACCATCCCAGCGAAGTTGAGTCCTTTTGGGCTAAGAAAACAGGCTCTTGGCATTTCACCTTTTGAAAATTTTGGTGTCTGGTATTTTGTCCTACCAAGTGATGCTGAGAATTCCCCTGAGGTATTTCATTTGGAAATGGTTATGCTTCTTGGCATGGCTTTGACTTTGATCCACCATCCAGATCTCAGCATCGTACAACCAGATTGGGAGGATTACAGCATTGAACAGGGCTGCCTACCTCAAAGTTCCCATTTCAGGTAGTTTGGCTCAAAATCAGGTAGTACAAAGACAAAGAAGGAAAAAAAAGATTATCATTGCCCCATCGAACGAGCTTGCTCTCCGTGATATTGAGTAATTATATTTTTTAAACTTGTCTATGCATGCACAAATGTGTGTATGTGGGGAGGGGAAGTGGGTGTTTGGGTGAGCACAAGTTAAGACGAAAAGTGTATGAAATGAGGAGAGTTTTTTTAAAAACCATTTATGGACTATTGTTCAAGGCACATTCAGTATTGAATCTGGAATTGAGTGCAGGGTGATTGCCAAACTGACTTCAAAACCGCTAGCCCATACCAATAGAAACTATACATTAAAACATATTTCCCGACACTAGCATAGGACACTGATAAATAAGTCCTTTGGTACAACAGACAATTAATTTTAACTAGATTTACCCTAAAAATACCAAATGAATCCTGATCTAGGCCAGGGGAGAGGCAAAAAGAACATCAACTGCCAAAACCATGTTTGGCTTCAGCAATCATGGATTTTAAAAGCATGCACGACAAAACTTAATTTATAAAACCTTTATAGTTAGGCTTACAACAGAGCAAAAAGTGAAAATAAAAGAGAGCATGTACTGAGAGCTGGAGCTGGAAGGACTGAGAGCGTGGGATGTAGTGATGCTGAAAACTGGCAATTAGTGAATCACTGCATCATAGACTAAGTATTGATTTTTTTTCAAAATGCTAAATCACAGTACCAGTTTTTAATCAGCAACAAGCCACCATGATGCATAATTATCCAATATAGAGCTTTCCGACGGTTCAAAATGGCATTTCCTCATTCCTACTATTCAATTTGTCATCACTGAAAAATCCGACAAATACGGGAACACCAACCTTGAAGATACAATCATCAAGCCTGTGCTCTAATGTTCCCTCATTTGTGCACTCGATTGACGAATGTCAAAACCACTTCCACTTCTCGTTTTTACTTTAGCATCAGTTTCTTGCACCTCGGCCTTATCCTGCTGCCGTAGGCTATTGCGTCAAACACCTCCCCTCAATTCCGAAGCCCTGCAACGCTCCTATTTTGAATGAACTTTGATTACCCCAGCTACCGTCTGCCGGTCCCTTACTCATGCCGCACTCACACTATGCAAAATTGCACAGGTTCACTGACCGGTCACGATGACGGGCTCAACAATCTAAAAATCGGAAGACGCTTGTTTTCCTTTTCTTCCTTTCTTTTTGTCATTATAGTGACATAAGTGAGCAGAGCTGTTAAAGTACTTTTAAAAAGGTACTTAAGTACAAATTTAAGTACAATCTAAAATATGTACTTAAGTACAGTAAAAGTACTTTCCTGTAAAATGTACTTGAGTACAAGTACTTTTTAAAAAAGTACTTATGAGTACATTATGAGTACTTTCTGCTAATATGCTAAAAACTTCAGTGCTAATGCAAAACATCATATTGAATAACATATCTAGTATATTTTTAAAATTCGGCCATTTATTACTAATAATGTAAACAGTATACAAAGCATTTGAATATACGCACTGAACGTAGGTGGAAATTGTCCGTGAAATTGAAAAAAAAACCCAGCAAACAAACAGACGCAACTAGTGAGTAAGTGATATTATGAATAGAATTTGTTTGAGCAAGACAATATGAACAAATGTAAGTCAGTCCAAGAGGTCGGAAAGTAGGAAAAGTATCAACATTGGAAAATGTAGAGACAAAGTTGATCTAAGAAAATAAAAAATTGATGAAAATGGCCAGCAAAAAAAAGTGCTTTGAATTCTTCTTTAACAAATCCTCAAGGAATCAAGGTAGCCTTAAGCACAAACCACAAAAAAAGGGAAAAAGAAATTTAGGTAGCCTAAAAAATTGTTAGATTGATATGGGTCATTCCACCAGTACTGTTTACTTTTACTGCTCATTATTTTCCACCTCAATAACACCCTCCAAAAGTCACCAACTACAGAC